TACAGCAATGACATTGGAGAAGTGTATTTGGATGGTAACAAAGAGAGGGAAGGCGGTTAGAACTGATGGGATTATACAACCAGAAGGCAACATTGCAGACATCGAGGACAGCTATAGGTACCTGGGACATCCACATAGTAAGGCAAGTCCTGAAAAGTCAGCTGAATGGGTAGAAGAATGTCGGGGAAATTAACACCTACGCTCTACCGGTGATCAGACCCTGCTAGGATAATAAGCTGACCAAAGAAGGAGACAGAAGCAACTAACATCAAGAAAAGGAAGCTCCTGAGCATGCATGGGGGATTTCACCCCAAACCCAGCACCATGAAACAGTACGCTAAGTGGAAGGAAGGACACTGAGGACTAGCGAGTGTCAAAACCACTGTCCAGGTTGAAGGTGAAGGCAACAGACCCCCAAGCTGGGTGAGTGGCTCTAGCAGATCCCAGGAACAACACCCAAGATCTTACTAGATTAATAAATGAATGAACCATACGCACAGAAGGATTAGATTATTAAAGTGTTTTTTATTTCTATACTTGGCTATAATTATTCTCACCGACACTGCTGTAAGACAGCTAAGAGTAAAGATAAATAGTTGAAATGACAATAAAGGTTTTGACCAGCAGGGGGTGTGGGGTTGTGTGAACATAAAGTCTCGAGAAATGAAACCTGTTTTTAACCAATTGGACAGAAAGCTTCGAGGCTTCATCTGACCATCAGTAGTATTAATATTATCTTCAGACAACAATAAAACTATTTTAATAAAAACATAACAAAAGGTGTTGTGCCTGATCTTTAATCTCTGTTTCTGCAACATAAATCAGGAGCCAACACACCCACGTTAACTGGTGATAGTCACAGTTTGATGTGCCGTGTGACAGCCGTATGCTCAAGGTAACATGACGTCAACGCAGTAGTCTGAAAACATTGACAGCTGCAGGCAGAGGTGTGTCTGATGTGTTAAACACCAAACTCGAAACACGAAATTGTTGAGCAGTCTAACATCCACTCTGAGTGTGCTGTAGTGTTTTTTTTCTATCACACAAAAGTGTGTGGGAATCATAACAAAGGCAGTGAGAGCATTTATCAAACACTTTAACCCAGTGGTTCCGAAAGTGGAGGGGGCACGTAAAATAAAATAATTAAACCTTAAAGATGGTTAGTTTAGTGGTTTATTTTATTGCAGCCTGTAAGTTTTTTACAGGGGGGCAAGATTTTCTTGTAGACTAGGAACACTGGGTGAATGTATTTTTAACAAGCAAAGATAAGAAACACAAAACAAGTCACAGAAGG